TGCACAAGGCAAGACCCGCCTCCGCCCAGCAATCTGTATGCACAGTGTTATTCTCTAATAAGATCATTCTCAATTAGTTCCGAAAATTCTCTCACAATATAGTCTACAACTACATGTGATCCGTTCCCGGATACGGTGGATTTATATACTAAGTTTCTTCCAGGTTTTATCATTGTCATTCTTTTGCACTGGTAAATTTTTACATTACATTCGTTACTTAATATATCAACGTTTTTGGGAGAGTGGTTTGCTCTCCTTCTCAGTGGGAAATATATTTCATGAATGGCTGAAAGAAATTGTTCAGACTTCTCATGTGGGTACTTTCAATGAGGAGTCCCGAGTATCCGGGAATTAACGGCTGTGTCAGAGACCTTTGTCTGCAGCACGTACTCCAGAAATCCAGAGAGCTGCGCAGAACTTGCGTCATGTAACATGAAGGCCCTCTGATTCTTTGTTAATCTTCTTTAACTTCTAGTTCTTTTATATTGCTCTTATCTGCATTAAAGTCTTTGTGAAAATTTTTGTTTATCTTTTGTGCAGGACGAACTCTACAAACTGTGGGACTATGTACAGCAAAGACGTTTCTAGCGCGTCCCAGTAGCCGCACCATCGGACGCCAGAGCGCAGCGCTGTCGCCGGCCAACACCACTACTTTTATGTACATGCTTCTGTGTTGTTTTGTGATTATTAAGATTCTATCCTACATAAGAAAAAATGCTTTAATTTTTTCAGGCTTCTTTCTTTCGTTTTGTGTGACTATCCTGTCACACTATTTTCTCTTCTGCTGGCCTTGTAGCATGATATGTTCAGATGTGAATGGTCTGATACTATAGACAGTTACTCATAATTCTGCTTTGTTTGTTCCACACTCTTTGTGAAGCAGTTTAAAGCAACGTGATATCTAGAATAGAAAATTGTAGTTAGAAGAGCGTTCCGATTGGATTGTTCCATACTTTTAATAATTCTTGTAGGTTTAATATCCTTCTATTTGTGTAAGAATTGCTGAAATCGTGGTGTTTAAGTGGAGTGAAGAATTAAAAAGATACTCTGCAAATGGAACAGTCTTAATATTTCTGAAATTTAAAGGGTTCCATTGCTGAATCATTAAATTAATTACTCTTCGTAGTTCACTTTAGGCAAAAAGTAAAGAAGAGTGGTGTGTACAGGGCTAGCGTGAGTATGATGTTCGGAATGTGACCATGTTTGTTGTGATTGACTAGTATGAGGGAAATAATAATAATAATAATAATAATAATAATAATAATAAATAAAGTATTAAGTAATCAACAAATGAACATTTTCTTTCTTTGTAAATTAACAGTTATATTGTTTACCTTTATAGTTTTCATATTTCTGAACATGAAGATTTCAAGTAAAACTCATATGAATTTTACTCTTAGTGATCTCTCATAATCATGAAAAATTATATTCTTCCCTAATCTGACTTTTAAGTTTATAAATGTTTTGGTCAACGCGCCCCTCCCCGGATCGAAGGGTGTCCAAGTTTCTCTGGACAATTGGGAAGATAGTATTTCACCTGCCAACTCTCGAGGGTGGAATTCCACATGATCTTAATAAAGGAACTAATTATGGAGAACACATTTAATTTGAAGGGAAAATCTCTAACTTCACTTTTGTAATTGTAGAAAGACTGAAAGTACTTCATACTTTTGCAATTTTCGAAAATACACAGTGAAATATCGGACCTTTGCCATAATTATTAGTGAAATTTACTCTATTCTTCAACAACAACAAAATTTGAGCAATTTTGAGAAAAATATTTAAAAAATTCCAGGGGCTTCACGTAAAGTACCTTCAAAATTTAAAGAATCGCAAGCTTAAAGTCGAGCCAGTTGTGAATGTATCCAATGAATCCACAAAGAATGGCGTGGTAGTTAAATGATGACCCAGACACAAGCTCTTACATTTAGTTTATTTGCAATATATTCCAAATATGTACAGATCTGGATTTCCGCCATTCTATCTCCCGTTACTCCTACACACACACTGACCATTACACCCTACCTAGTGCAGATCCTCCACCTCGACGCTTTAGGGTCCCTTGCCACGTCGCGATGGCGGCGCGCTTCCGTCAAGCAGCTGAGCCCTACCGTCGCCGCCACCGCCGCCGCAGGGAAGGCTACCATTTAAAGCTTTGTTCTGCCGGCGGTGGTGCGTACGCCCTCCGCCTCGCGTGGCGAGAGTTCTCCGCCGCTTACCGCAGCAGCGCACTACCGCTGGCAGAACACAGCTTTACATATTTTTTAATTTAAAGTTAAAATAAACTGAAATAAATGCTATAGAATAAAACTATATATTTGTCAGCCGAAATTCGAACACTGGCTGGTTTGCTTTTCCACAATGTTTGTCATAGCTTAGATTTTTATTTTTGTTTTATTTGATAGAGTATGAGGTCTCAACCAAATGCCGAATTTGCGTATGATTAAGAGAAGAACAGATTGAAACTTCTCTACAGACCAAAAAAAATTTTAAGATACAATGTTCATACACATTCATTCACATATAAAGAAAAACATTTGTATAAGATGTTCGAACTTACCAATACATTTAGTTGAGTTTCCTATTTAAGAGCTATAAAAATGTTCTAGTCAAATGAATTATTACAAATAACATTTTTGTGGAATATTGCAAGATTCAATAAGATAAATTTTGTTGAATTAATTTCATTTTTGAATCTGAATTTATACTAGCACGATGAGAAATACCAGTCTAGGCTATTTTGCGCATTGCAACAAGTGAAGACAAAACTTTGTTCTTGCATAAATTTTTCAGTTATTTTTTTCCAGTTTTTCTGGGGGTCCCTGAGCTACAGCCCTGCCTTTAATCCAGCCCTGACAATTCATTATATACGTGGCTAATTGCTTTGTTGATGTTGGGTGATTATGGTGGATATTCTACAATAATACTGGGTCTTGGACTAGTTAATTTTTATTGGCAAATTGTTGTATTCCGGTGGTTCTATTTCAAATCTTAACTGTAATTAAAAGAGTAGTAGTGTGAACATTTTATGGTGACCAAACAATGGATTCAAAAATGGCTTTGGTGGTTTTTTTTGAATGATCCCAAAATAGCCTTTACGTAACCCCCTCCCCCCAAAAAGTGAAATTTTGGCAAATTTAAAATTTATTTTAAATAACAAAATGAAAAATACTGCAAGCCTGTTTATTTAAATGATCTGAGCCTGTAAGCTTTTAGTTAATATCTTTTTCTTCCACTTGTGCTTTATCTCAAATGCAATTTGTTTCTTCAGTGATCTTCTTACCCACATCAATTTTTCTGCCTAGATCAGGGATGCACAAATAGAATTCCAGTCACCTGTCTGTACCACTCACACTTCAATATTATGCTCAAGCACCTCCCCTCTCGAAGAACTGACTGCAAATGCAGCAAGCCACACCAGTTGTTTGCAAATAAGCGCTAGCCCAGGGTATGCCAAGTGAACCACCCACTTGAGCAGCCACTGATCGAATTTTCACCTTGCCAACAATAAGGGACTTCCCATTGGATCCTGTCTAGAAGTGATCAGTTTACTCTACGCAAACCCTATGGGATTCCTCTGTGACCTGTCAAGAACAGATCTGATTTTCCCTGTGTCAGCCTTTTGGGGTTTCCTTTTATAATAGCCAAAGCTCCATCAACTGAATGATCAGAATCTCATACATCCAGTTCCATTTCTTTTCATTCCAATTTTTTTTTCTCTTTTGATATAACTGCAATCAATGAGAACATTTAATTGAGTAATCAGACATAATACTGACATTCAGTGTTTGACCATTGCTTGCAGTTACGACTTAGTGTCATTAGTGTTCAAATATGTAAGCACAAAAATGACATATCACAACACTTGCAAACAACCAAATATATATTTTATTGAAAATGGTAAAAATTTTCTGAGAATAGGAATGGGATAAATACAATAAAACAGATGTATTCACATAGACATCTCAAGTGATTTATTAAAATAGTACACTCATATTTATGTATAACTATAGTATTAAGAAATATATAATACAGAAAAAAGTACATTTCACTAAATAAACAAAACTGTGGTCACATTATTTTATTTTGTTTCATCCTTGACAATGGCACTACCAAGATCATGTAACATGACACTCCTGAAGTGTACACAGGAATTATGGAACAGTGCAATGCATGTTCCTCTTTGGTACTTTGCCTTCTTCGCAAAAATCACAGAATAAAGGAAGATGCAAATGCACAAAGAATGACAGACTTTTTTATGCCAGGAAATACTTACTATATTCCTGCTTTTGAAGACAAAATCTCCAAAAGGAATCTTGAACGAAGGCCATCTCACTAACCCTCAAGGAACGACTCGCCGAGGACGTCAGCATTGGCTTTCCGCATCGTAATCTGAGTTTTTTACTTCTGCAAATGCAAATCCAGACATCAATTAATTTATCAAGAAGAATTTTGTCTCAATATATTGTTAATAAAATAAATAATAATTACAACCACAACAACAATTACAATATTACAATAATAATTTTTCAAAAAGGTTTTTGCAAACCTACAATTCTTAAATTTCTCCCCCTTAACATCCTGAATTTTAAAAAGATGTTTTGTGAATTCCTTTTTCCTAACATTTCATTAACATTACATAACATTTCGTAACATTTTCGTACATAACGTTTCGTAACATTTAATAATGGTTCGTTTCATTAGAGCCTTTTGATTTTTCGGGGTAATATTTTTTAAAGTAATCAGAAATGCGTAATCATATAGTAGATCAATAGATGGTAACTTAAATCCTCACACTGATAGGAATTCATTGAAAGGATAACGGAAGATACAACAAAAATACTCTATCAGAGTTCAGAATAAAAAAGCATTGGCTAATTTAACTTCATTCGTACTTATTTCATGACCTGCAATGTGAAAATGTCATTGAAACATAAAAAAATGCCAAGATTGACTAATGGTTTAAACTGTAATTAATACACTATTTCAAAAATTTTAAAAAGAATATTTAGATATCCATTTACAATATCATGAGAATAGACAAATAAGAGTTGTGAGCAATTTGAACAAAATTAAAATTAATTTTTATGCTCCTAACACGTTTGTCTTTCACTAGAAACTGGAAAGATCTGACATGACTCTCACATAAATCACTCAATCATGATTCTGATCTGAAAAATATAATACAATGGTTAAAATACAATTATTAACTCAGAAGCCAAGCAACAAACCTGCTCGAGGCAACACTCAGAACCTCGGAATAGACTCACTACCCAAAACAGCTCATCTGATAGGGTATTTTCAGGAGCCATCTTCAAGGGTATCACGAGCTACACATTGTCTTTCTTCATACTTCCGTTAGGACTATTTTTCATCTGGAGAAATTTCAGAAATGCCATATACTCCAGCTAACAAGCGACCATAATTCAGTGGTACAGGCTCTTTTGGAGCAATGTAAGGGCCATGTTCTCCGACATAAACATATCTGTATAAGTTAAGAAATCTAAGTATTTGTTTTGCACTTTTAGTAGATTCTTCCATATAAAAGTCAAAATTATATCTTAATATTAAATATATACTACCTCAACATACCATCATGCAAATTTATAATTTCAAAACCAATAAAAATTTTATCCTTTATTTGGACTATAATTAAGGAGAGGAAAAATCCATCTATTTTTCTTTAATGAAAAAATTGATAATAATGGAAATTCAACTTAGTTACCAGCTACGACACCCGCTGAAATTGTTCCTGTATTAATAGGAACTAGTAGTGATTATACACTAGAAAATTCACTCTTTTATATTTATGATTTAACTTTCAAACTAATAGAGTATGTACTGAAAGACCAATTACACTATCCACATACATACATTGACACGAAAATCACTTAAATATCTACAGATGACTCTACATACAAATCATCTACTTCCTTAAAAAATTATAAAAAAATTTTACTTCCATAAAATCTGCATGCTGAGATCTTCATAAAATTACACTAATTATATACAACAAACTAAAACTTCTCTAAAATATAATGTAAAATCATTTCATTTATTAAAATTATTTATTCATTCAATAAACAGAATGAACCCTTTACAAATACTTTCAAACTAGTGAGAATGTGTGGCGTACTGAAACTTCTTTCTCTTAGGCCCGCAACAGACTACATTGAGGAATGTGTTTCCAGTAATGTGCGATGAGAAATGTGGAAAATCGAAACAAGGGACAGTTATTGATCTCCATACACTTGTAAGAGTTTTCTCAATCACCTCTGTGGAGGCGAAAAGAGTTCCTTGCTCGAGTCGGTCAGTGAGCGAGATTTCTCGGACACATTTCTACTCCTTCACTTGTTTTTTGTAGGTTCTCCATACTCTGTGGGCTTATCTGAGGTTTAATCACTTGCATTGGCATGATCGTGGTGTGGAGCAGGTGAGAAGCGAAATATCTGAGTGGTTTGTAGAGTGAAATTTCGTGCAGCAGAAATGATTTAAGAAAAATTAATAGTGTGTGAAAAATAACTTGTATTTTTATGAAACAAGTAATGAACAATACAAAAATATTAAGTTGAGGGATGATACGTAGAGGACTTTATCTGAAGAATTAAAAGGAAGTAAGCATACACATTTGGAATTTCCAGAACAGTATGATTAGATCTTATGCATGATGTATTTACCAAGTTTAAGCTGTAAGTCTAGTTAATTGACACAGTTAAGTGTGACACATAATTACATCCATTCATACAGTCATCCCAATTTTCTGAAGTAACATAAATGGAGTTCTGGTAAAGATCAGTCAACCTGTATCAAAGATAGATTGATAGACAAGCTTTTGTACATACAGCAATACAACTTTGGATATGAGAAACTAAAGGTTTATATGTACCCTGATGATGGCAGCAATTCTTGTGTCAAAACATTGAGATGCTCAAACAATAATTTTATTTATTTCATAAAGTCAGTTAATAAAGGTCAATGTTTGTCACCAAAGCCCAATCTTACTGGAAAATTGTTATAATTCCTCCAAGTCATTATAATATCCGAATTATGTATTTCACATGAGCAACACATAGAAAAGCTTGTATGCCATACATTCCTCATTTAAACAAGAGTATATGTTTGTTAACTCATTCTATGCTTTGGTTCATAAAACTTCAAGCAAAAGAGTAAGTAACTTCAAGTAATTTAATCTTAGAGAAAATAACATTGCGTGGAAAGGATACGGTAAACGCAAAACCCAATATGCACTCTGGGACAGCTTCAGTGGCTGATCACATCCAGTCACAAAAATGGGGCAAGGTGCTGGTGCAGGCTGAACACATGGGTTTAATGTCACATGAATTGGAGCTTTTGGTGTCACAACATGAATGCGCATTAACTGAGCAACTAGCGGCTTGGCATTCCTACAAAACCAAAAAAAAAATAACATTATTTTTACTTACATAAGCAGAGTAATAAACTTGTATTTTGATAAAAACATAAATATAAGATCTGAAAATTTTTTAAAAGAAACCATTACAAGAAAAAATACCAATATTCACAGATCACTCACAGTAAATGAATATAACATTAATGGAATAGTTTTTATTTTCTTTCTTTCAAGAAAGTCAAAAAACAACAACAAACAAACATATGATTACTTAATCATTTTATAATAACAAATGCAGAATATTCTATTAAGGAAGTGAAATAATTCGAAAATAAATGAGAAAGAGAATAAGAGGGGAGAGAGACAGATTGTGTGCCTGGTGTGTAAGAATATGAGTTTGTGTTGAGTGTGTGTG